TATTATTTCCCCTTGTACACTATGTCATTATTTCTGAATGATCGTAAGCAAGGAGATGCCATTTGCAGAATAAATTTGCTAAATTTTTTATGTCTTAATAAGAGCATATTTGCTAGCTTAGGGAATCAGATTCTGATTTTATGGATGATAGGTACAGAAGATTTCTGTCAAGAAAGAAAAGGGATATGTGCCCTCATAGCTATGGAATGTGATAATACACAAGCATTCTAAATGTGAAGTGAAGCAATAAATATTCATTTCTTCACATATTGCTTAGCACACACGCAACAAGTATTTTTTTTTCTTCAGCCAATGATATGGTGAATACCTGATCTAATTAAGTGACAGAAAGCAATTTTATATTATCATTTTTATACCCTCTCTTTATCGACCTTTCCTTATTCATTGGGGAAAATGTTTTATTCATTAAAAAAATGTCTGTAAACTCATCTATTCTGGTGGATAATGGAGTGCCTTGAATCTTGATATATGAAAGGAGTTTATTTTTAAATGAAAAGAGTGAGTCAGAAGAATTTTATTCTTGTTTGTATTCTTGATGAGGAAATTTGTGAGATTGTTAATGCTAGCATCTTGCCAGGGGCAAATATTTCACTTATTTACACTTTGGGGCTATGATACTAACTAATGAACTACAGATAATAAACAATGAAATGTTAAATAAATTGATGTAACATTTCTCTTTGCTATGAATTGAATTATTATTCAGTTATCATTGCCATACATTGAATTTTATAGACATAAAAGAAGCTTAGTGGAAAATTAATACAATAAACACTTCATGCTACATCTAATTGAAATATAATTTTAAATTAGTCTTAGCTACTTGAAACATGACATATTTATTTCATTTCAAGAAAATGTTTCAACTGATGTCAAAGTTTAAAGTTCAAAGCACTATGGTGTGAAAGAATTGTCTGTAATCTGTCAATCATGCTTTAAATAAATGCTGATTGGTCAATAGCCAGGCAGGAAGTATAGGAGGGACAACCATACAAGAAGTAGAGGTGGAGCAATGAGAACAGGAGAATTCTGGGGAAAAGGGAAGCCCATTCCTCCACAGTCCAGCCCAGATCACTGAAGAAGCAAGATGTGACCTGTCTTGCTGAGAAAGGTACCTAGCCATGTGGCTAACATAGATAAGAATAATGGGTTAATATAAGCTACAAGAGCTAGTAAGTAACCTGAGCTAATAGGCCAATCAGTTTTATAACTTATGGAGATCTCTGTGTGATTTTCTCTGGGACTAAATAGCTAGGGGACCAGGCGGGACAGAAACCCCAATGAGCCTGGCCCTCATGTTACAGCATTATTTTGATGTACTGATTGAATAATGTTCTGACTCTAACAAGGCATAAAGTGTCATTATCAAATACACTAGCCTTATTCAATAGAAACTCATATTTTATAACAATATACATGACCCACTTCAAGGTGGTCATGTTTTAACCTTTGTGCTGTGAGTTGGTTGGATTTGGGCCTTTAGTTTAATTCACTGGTTTCATCACAAAATGGTGTCAGTGTATCTCTGTGACAGAATAAGAATTGACAGATAATCATCAGCATGTCTTTAAATTGAGGTTGCATAATGGTCTAGTACTTTTCACAAGTCCCATGTTTTCTTCTTCCTTTTGAAATTATAGTATTCTCTTTCATCCAGACAGCATTTTCTTGAAGTTGTCTTGAAAAGTGAGGTATTTCTATTCCTAATGAAGCTTTAGCCAGTGTGGGATGTATTTGGTCTTTGCTAATTTCAGTATTTTTTTTTAACAATCGTCCATCAGGAAACATAGAGAACATCTCATATTCAGGGTGATATTCATGACTTTTGTGTCATATATAGAACGTTGTATGCCATAAATTCTATGCATTATTTATAAATTTCAGCCCTTAAGCTCATTTCTGGATACCCCAAAATGTCATAGAATATTTAGCTTCAACCATACTTCTCACTTGGCATCTTAAACTATAATAAACATCACAGGTGAATAATTGGTCTCAGATAATCTTTTTTTTAAGTACTCCATTAATCCAACTGACAAATTCAATGACTTGTTGCTTCTCTACCTTTCTTGGTTGATCATGAAAATCTCTGAATGGTAGGAAGTACAAGGACCTTCCAGTCTTCTCAATCTAGCAGGTGTTTATACTTCCCAGAAATTTCCACAGACACATGAATACTGCAAAATGCCTTTCTCCTCATTGCATGCAACCACCCTTCATAGCCTAGTGGGATCGTCTTTAACATAAAAATATGGCTTCTCAAATTCTGTTCTCTTCAATGTGTTTTGTCACATGTTTGTTGGTTTCTTTTTGATTGATGACTTCACACATTCTATCACCTGGGAAAAGTCTCAGTGAGGAATTATAAGAATTAGAATAGTCTGTGGATAGACCTGAGGTTTTTTTTTTTTTTTTTTTTTTTTTTTTAATTGGGTTACCTGAAGTGGAAAGACACATTCGTTTTTATGATCTGTGTTCTGTACTGAAAGAAAGAAATAAAAGAGGAAAGTGGCTGGGCAGTGGTGGCACATGCCTTTAATCCTAGCGCTCGGGAGGAAGAGGCGGGTGGATCACTGTGAGTTTGAGGCCAGCCTGGTCTACAAGAGCTAGTTCTAGGAAAGACTCCAAAAACTACAAAAAAAGGTAGGGGAGTGGAGTTGAGTACTTTTGAGCATGCATATCCATTCTCTCTCTATTCTATGATGTGACTAACTGCTTAAAAATTGCTGCTACCTTAACTTCCCCAGAATGACAGACTGTAACCTAGTTTTGTGAGGCAGATAAACACTTTCTCCAAAGAGTTGCTTTTGCTTGAGTGTTTTTTTATTAATTTCTTTATTAATTAATTAAAGATTTCTGTCTCTTCCCCACCGCCGCCTCCTCTTTATCAGAGTAAAAATATTTAAAATATTTAAAAATAAATATTAAAGTAGATAATGCAAAGGGAAAATCAAATCTCTATTGATGATCAGCACTTCCTCCAAGGGCCATGAGAACACATACTACACTCTTTTGGTCTGCTCTATTGTATATTTAGAAAACTTTGCCAGGTATTGCTAAATACAGAAAACTAGATCAATGTCTACAAATTGAAGAGCTTATTGTCAAGTACCCTTGAATCAATAAACAAGTTCATTTATTTATGAGAATTAATGTATTAATTATATAGTTCTCCAGTCCCAAAAGAATATAAGCAGCCCTAGTTTTGACATACAGTAAGGTATATATAGACTTCCACTATTATTAATCTGACTCTCTTGGTCAGCACATCATATGGACCTCTTCAGTTAGGTGGACATGCCTGGAGGCCACACACTCATTTGGTATTATATATTTCTACTTTTAAACTTTTCATTTATGAGTTGTTTTAAGCTAATTTTATTAGTATATTCATTGATTACTACTATAAGAAACTGCTTTCTGATGATGCTCCTTTAAGTATATTCCATTTAGGAGTGTGCTTTTCTGGCAATTTTGCTCACTCTAGGAAGTATAGTTAATAAAAACATTCAAGAGATTTTTAAAAAATAGATTACACCAATGTACTCCAAACCGTGTGTGTGTGTGTGTGTGTGTGTGTGTGTGTGTGTGTACTAATGATTTATATCAAAATAAAATCAAAATGAAACAAATGACAGCCTACCCTGGACCAGGTGATCTCAAGTTTCACTGACTTAATAAAACATTTAATTGTTAAAATATTTTAAATGTCAAAAGCCTAAGCAACCAAATTATTTTAAAACTCAGAAAATGCCAGACTAGGAAATTAAAACAAAAACAAACAAACAAACAAAAAACTCACTAACTTGTCCTCAAGGGAAACACTACATTGTTTAATACATTCTTAGTGCCTGGAACAAAGTTACTTCCAATAGCATTACAAAATATACATATGTATATGTCTACTTTTCTAGCCTACATAGTGGTTACATCAGCTTCATTGACAAAGTATCATTCTCATTTCTCTGTCATTCTTCAACCTCTCTCAATATAGACACACTGCTGTTATTTCTTTAACAGTTCACATTCTATTGCATATTTTTCAGCATAACACGTTCTAGTTTTTAACATATCCCAATGCAGTTTAAATGGTTCTTCCTAATCTCCTTGGCTGCAAAAATTATAAACAATTGAGTTTGTTCTACTCATATTTTTTTTCTACTTGGTACTGTATTCTATTTTATCTTTAATACATTTTTAATTAAATTTTATGACAATTCTTTTTAACACGTGACTAGTATCACACAGAAAGCTCAGGAAGAAAAATGAGATATCTTATCTCTTATTCAGGCATTCATTTGTTCTTCTGCTAATGAAACATTTATCTAATGCCAGTTATGAAAAACCCTCTGCATATAAAGAAATGCAGAAGACTCACTCCCTGCACTCTAGGAGCAGATAGGAACTGAATAAATTAAATGTCAGAATAGGAGAGTATTTAAGATCCTGTAAGGCAGTAGCTCTATGCAAAGGACACATTAGCCTCTCCTGTGAGATTTTAAAAAGTGTAGTCATTGATCCCATGTCTTAGGTTCCCATGAGTATTCAATCATTTGAATGATATGAACTTATTATGCACCTTAAATGAAGAATTGTTTATATCCATAGATTGAGTAAACCCATTTATTGCTTTAGTTATTTTTCTTTCATATATTATAGATCACAGAAATCCAAGAAATGATATTTTAACATTATAAAGAGATATACTTTTGAATATCTACATACACACATGCATATTCTGTCTTCAGATATGGTAAATAAAAGCATCAAATTCCTAATGGAGCACATGCTGATTGTGGATGTCTGTAAATGGAGGTTTCTCTGTCCTGCCCTGTCCCGCTGCTGATTGCATATGGTGCCCACCATCAGGCATGGATCCACATAACACTTTAAAAATCTTAAAAGAGGATTCTAAGCACACACACACACACACACACACACACACACACACACACATTGAATCAATTGCAGCCTCCCTCATTTCTCTGGTAAACTCTGTTTGTTAATGACTAACAAAGGCATGTCTCCTTGAGAAAGCAACTTCCTAGTTCCTGCTGGCAGCATAGAGGGCTCCTTTCGGAGGTCCTGCCAAGGAGCACTTGATTGGGGTTTGTGAGTTGTGGGCTGCAAGCTACTTGGTGGCAACACAAAGCCACTGTTTTCTAGAGTTGGGGCGGTGAGCATGACTCTCCCTGGTACCTCTGCCATGAGATTAGACTTTCAAAGGACTGAGGGGGAGCACTCAACAATCATGCACCAGCACTATTCACTAAGCAGAGCAGTACAGACAGGTTACATAGGCGGTTTAAAATCCGTCTTATGCAATCAAAAATCAGTGCAGACACACAATAAGAACTGATTCAGACAAAAACAATTCTAAAGAGGTAACAGTGTGGTCAAAAAATGTGCATAGGCTTGGGGGAAAGTTTCTACTTCACTTCTTATTAAACTAAGGACAAAAGTATTAGCATGTGTGTGTATCAACAGTACAATTTTAAAAAGCTTACTATATTTTACCTACTCTAGTAAATGTGAAGCAGATGTCCATGTGCAAACTAAGACACAAAACCAAACTAGATATGTTTGAACAAACTATGGTTACAATTGTATTTAAAACTGACCTATACAATAAAAGATAGGACATAAAATTCATGCTATATATTTAGAATTGTAATCTAGAACAACATGCTTGGCATTCAATTGGATATTCTATTTTTCAAGTATTGTGGATTTCTATGAATATTAAAGAAGAAATCAATGATCCTGTGTGCTGTTCACTCATCTCTCCAATGACTGCATTTTATATGATTTTATAATATGATTTCAAAAATCTGATGTTGACAAGGGTATAGTTAGTCTCTTAGTCAAGTTAAAGAGCTACTTTTTTTAGGGTTTTGAGAAATCATGAATTCAGATTCTTCAATAGTTTCATGGTCATTTAGACATTCAACTTTTGTGTTGTATGAGTTCTTATTGTTTGTAGTTCTTGAGGAAGTGGGTCATCATCTCAAACTCGCCAAACTTATGGCAAAAGTTGTTTTAGTGTGATCTTTTAGTACTATGGTTGCATTAAGAGTCTGTAGTGATATTTCTTGGTAACTATATTCTACAGCTTCAAGTCTAAAATGAATGAGACAATAAAATGAAATAATAAAATTGGCAAGGTGTCTTTCCTCAAATCCTGAGTTTCTTGGTTAGCTGCTATTCTTTAATCTGTTCATATCTTTTTTCTGTGAGACCTGATGAATTCTCAGTTTTGTTTAAGAGAAAGATTAAAAACCACATTTATAATCAAGTTTTACACTCCATAAATGACAGTTTTATTTCTTCAATGGTGCGTTTTCATTTGAAATGAGTTCTACAATTTTCCATGATACTCTTCTTTAGAGATTGTGCAGTATATTCTGTGTGGTCTTTATATTGAAAGGGGATTTTATCTTGCTGTTAAAAGCCATTTGATAGAACATCCCATTGACTCAGTGTGTGGGTGCACCCCTCGCGGTCCTGAATTCCTTGCTCGTGCTCTCTCTCCTTCTGCTCCTGATTTGGACCTTGAGATTTCCGTCCGGTGCTCCAATGTGGGTCTCTGTCTCTGTCTCCTTTCATCACCTGATGAAGGTTAATATTCGGAAGGATGCATATATGTTTTTCTTTCGGTTCTGGGAACTCACCAAGGCCAGCTGGCCTGGGTCTGAAAAAAGCCCCGGATAAAACCGGTCTCTCTGAACATAGCAGACAAGGAGGACTACTGAGAACTCAAGAACAATGGCAATGGGTTTTTGATCCTACTACACATACTGGCTTTGTGGGAGCCTAGGCAGTTTGGATGCACACCTTACTAGACCAGGATGGAGGTGGGTGGTCCTTGGACTTCCCACAGTGCGGAGAACCCTGATTGCTCTTTGGGCTGAGGAGGGAGGGGGACTTGGTTGGGGGAGGGGAAGAGATATGGGAGGCGGCGGTGGGGAAGAGACAGAAATTTTTAATAAATAAATATATAAATTAAAAAAATAAAAAAGAAAAAAAATTTGTTTAAAGAGGAAAAAAAG